TTTAATTGTTGAGTTGTTATCGGTTTAATAAATAAAGCCAAAACTGTGGCCGTGTTTTATTTAATTGTTGAGTTGTTATCGGTTTAATAAATAAAGCTAAAACTGTGGCCTTGTTTTGTTTAATTGTCGAGTTGGTATCGGCTTAATAAACAATGCTAAAACTGTGGCCGTGTTTTATTTAATTGTCGAGTTGTTATTGGTTTAATAAATAAAGCCAAAACTGTGGCCGTGTTTTATTGAATTGTCGAGTTGTTATTGGTTTAATAAACAATGCTAAAACTGTGGCCGTGTTTTATTTAATTGTCGAGTTGTTATCGGTTTAATAAATAAAGCCAAAACTGTGGCCGTGTCTTATCTAATTGTCGAGTTGTTATCGGTTTAATAAACAATGCTAAAACTGTGGCCGTGTTTTATCTAATTGTCGAGTTGTTATCGGTTTAATAAACAATGCTAAAACTGTGGCCGTGTCTTATCTAATTGTCCAGTTGTTATCGGTTTAATAAACAATGCTAAAACTGTGGCCGTGTTTTATCTAATTGTCCAGTTGTTATTAGCTTCCTAAATTAAGTTAAAGCTTTCAATAAGTATAAACACATTTCATCATCTTCTGTAATTTTTGTAATAATTTCATCATTTTTTGTTTTCTAAGCTATTATCAATAAAAAGTTTTATATATATGTTCTTGAAACGAGCTGTCGACTTATTACCGAGAACACGAATTGTGACTACGGATTACTACCGAGTACTCGAGCTGTGACTAAGGCTTATTACCCGAGCACACGAGAACCCTATCGTACAGTCGAAATGAACGCTGTGACCTTATTGACCTCTTGGCTCCCTGGATGAACTTTAGGTTGATTGATAGGTTACATATGAGTGAATAACCCGATTATCGAAACGACATCGTCTTCAGATAGATGATATGTGAGTCTATCAATTGTAATAAAACAATATATCCATCTGTATATGACTTCTATTGACACTAGGTGTCTAGATTAAACTACGCGTGAACATCTTAATGTTCGTGTCGTGATTTTATAATCTTATTACACACAAAGTCATATTTCAAATATTTTTTTCTCTTAAGAAACAACATTTTACAAACTGTCATCAACTTATGAACATATTTTTTGTGTAAATGTTTCTCTACGTAATCGGTTTGTAAAAGATTAAGAAGGAAGCAAAAAGTAAGTTAATTCACTTCCAACCGCTTTTTTTTTTCTGTTTGTGTTTCATCAAATTTAGAATTATTAAATAGTTTTTCTAGAGTAAATATTCGGAGCTTAGACGAAAGATGTTCACTCGTGCCAACAACAAGTAACGCCCTCTATTTTAATTCCCTTTTTTTTATCCTAACCTAGTGACATTACACTTGGTAATGAAAATGTAAGAAACTATTTTTTCTTTGAAGTTACTTAAAACGTTTACTGAACAGAATGTAGCTCTTCGTATAGAAATCGAAAGACAATTTACAACTTGTTCTGTGTACAACTGCGAAAAAGAAAATAGTCTGATAATAAGCAAGATTACGACACTTTTGATATACAACATTGTTTATTGACAAAAAAGGGACATGGATAAACGTTTCGGAATTCTATCAGATTCCATCTTCAGTATTTAAAGCAGAATAAAATGAATTTAAATTTGCGTAAGTCTTTGGACATTGCTAAAGTAGAATTACTAAATATAACGACAACTAAACAAATAAAACACAAAACAGTAATCATGGGGAGAAACTACAGCAAGAAAACACAACAAAAAAGTAAAGTCAGTAATACGAACATATGAAAAATGTATAATTTAAATGAAGATTGCATGTTGTTCAGTGTTGGAGAGTGCTGCTTGATGTGGAAGGTTTCTTTAATCAAGAATTCCAGGTCAGTATTAGACTTGCGTAGGATAAAAAAATTGGATAGCATAGGTTGATGTCCTATTACTTCACTATGTTGGCGTTTAGAGGAAACACAGGGGTTACTCATTTTTTTGCGTTTTGATGGGAATTCTCATATGTTTATAGGCTCTGACTTTTAAATGGCGTTTACTACCAATCAAGCACGTATTGGAACGACAAAAGTAACTCTTTTCTATAAAGTTTTTTTATCGTCTTCGTTAATTATAGGAGAGTTGAAAAATACGGAGCACGATATTAGAGTTGGATCTTCATTAAGTTATATAAACTATCATCTACCAACAAGGACAAAACTAGGGTTAGCAGTTCACTAAATTATGTAAACTATCAATCACTAACAAGGACAAAACTAGGGTTATCAGTTCATTAAGTTATATAAACTATCATCTACCAACAAGGACAAAACTAGGGTTAGCAGTTCACTAAATTATGTAAACTATCAATCACTAACAAGGACAAAACTAGGGTTATCAGTTCATTAAGTTATATAAACTATCATCTACCAACAAGGACAAAACTAGGGTTATCAGTTCACTAAATTATGTAGAGTATCATCTACCAACAAAGACAAAACTAGGGTTAGCTGTCCACTAAATTATGTAGAGTATCATCTACCAACAAAGACAAAACTAGGGTTAGCTGTCCACTAAATTATGTAGAGTATCATCTAC